GCGACGGTAAAGTTACGCTTGAGTCACCACGATGCGATTCGGAATTGTTGCGAGTTTGTAAAAGACTTTGAGTGTTTGTTTGTTGCAGTGAATCAATCGGTTGTACAAAATGGGTAAAGCAGAATTGATGGCCGAAGTAAGGGAGAAGAAGGCTGCTAATCCTATGCGTGAATTGAAAATCCAGAAATTATGTCTGAACATTTGTGTTGGAGAATCTGGTGATAGGTTGACTCGTGCAGCTAAGGTTATATTTGTCATTTGCTCAGTTTTGATTCAGATGAAATGTGTTCATCATTCTGAAAGCTTCAGCTATTTATTTTCTCACTAAAAAAATAATTATGATGAAATGCAGTTTGGTAAATGGTTTTCGAAAGTTTTGCATTGCATTTCTTGTCAGCATTCTTCTATCAGAAGTTTATTCGAATTCGCATCGAATGAATTAGCTCACCTCTGAATATTTCATTGGTTTTTTTTTTCATTCACAAAACACTCTAACGATAGTCTGCTGGCCTGATAGTGTCACAGTAAATTGCTGGCTCACTAAAACCTACCACTGAATTTTGATCCTATCTCATCACGCGGCGATTTTTCAGAACGCAAATTGAAGTGATTGGGTAGCATTGTTTAGAATCATAGGATCAAGCTGATTCCATTAGGAAACTTGCATATTTTCATCGTCTGGTAGTGGAGAGTAGTTTGTTTTTGTTGATAACAGAATGGTGGTGGTAGCTGAGTTGAGATTGCAGGTATTGGAGCAGTTGACCGGTCAAACTCCAGTATTCTCGAAAGCACGTTACACGGTGCGTTCGTTCGGCATCAGACGTAACGAAAAGATTGCAGTGCACTGCACTGTGCGTGGCCCGAAAGCAGAAGAAATCATCGAACGTGGTCTCAAGGTTGGTCGTGTCTCGTTTGCAGCACTTGCATTTTTACGAACCATTTCCATGTGCACAGCCAGACAATAAGCGAACATTCAATTGGTTCGATTATATCAAAATATCGTTCACGTTTCGGTTTAACTGCCACTTCTGAAACGAATTGCAACTCATCAAAATATCTGGTTCAGCTCACCGGAATCTTCCTCGTATAGGGGAGGAGGGGGGGGGGTGATAAGTGGCGAAAGCTCGTATGCGGTCAATCTTAACCAGTGATATCTTGGTCTAGCCTGAATGCATCTTAAGCGGGAGGTTTGATTGCGGGGTGTATCGTTGATCACTGACAGAAGCATGGTTCGTCGAATTGTTACACACACACACATTAAAACAAAACAGCGAAGATATGGGTGTCAATGAAAATGTTTGTTTTGAGAATCGTGAACCTTGTGATCAACTTCATTCTGTTCGAAATATTTTCGGATCTGTTTGAGAGTGCATTTGTTTTCGATGTGATGATCATGAAAAGAGTTGCAGTGGGTTGTGTGACGAGTTGGTGATGTTTCGGGGTTGTTGCAGGTGAAAGAGTACGAGTTGTATCGCGAGAACTTTTCGGATTCGGGTAATTTCGGGTTCGGCATTCAAGAGCACATCGATTTGGGCATAAAATACGACCCGTCGATTGGTATTTACGGCATGGACTTTTATGTGGTGTTGGATCGTGCTGGACGTCGTGTTGCGAAACGACGACGTGCTGTTGGTCATGTGGGACACACACACCGTGTTGGCAAGGAAGAGGCTGTTAAATGGTTCCAGCAAAAGGTCTCTTCTTTTTATTTTTTTATTGCTAATGTTTCAAGTTTTATCCAATAAACAATAGAGACTAGCCAATAGTATTCTGACCTTCAGTGGGACGCAATGACTGAGATGATAGAATTATGCCTTTATCTTATTGATTCATTCATTTTGGAGCTTAGCGNTTCGTTTGCAACTTCTGGTATATAGCGCGAAAGTGATAGTGCGTAGATATGGAAAGGAGTACAGATTTTAATTTCGATTGGTTGGAATTGAAAAATTTGAATGTGTTAATAAGCTGGGAATGAATGGGTCAGGTATTCGAATTTTGACTGAATGTTATACGTGCGTTACGGTGATTTGTAATTCTAACTGAAGCTGTCTGCAACTGATGATGAATTTGTGGTTGATTTCAGTACGACGGTATAATACTGCCACCGAAGGCAAAAGAGATTCGTCACGGACGTAGACATTGATCAAGAAATAAGAGAAAGAATAATATTTTTGATGTGTTGAGATGTGTTATTGTTTTTGTATTGTTGTTGTTGCATTGTGTGATTCACATAAATGTGTTATTTGACATTTTGTGTTGGATGCGTTGTTTTCAGAAATAATATAACACGTTTATTATAAATAGTGATCGTTCGACAAGCAGTGAAGTTGAGTCGTACCCTAAAACGACACGAAATGTGCTTTCATAATCCGAGGTTCATCCTGAAGCTATGCCATTTTCAAC